CCTGGACAGAGGCACCCTCGAGGGACTGAGGGACAGCACCCATTTAACAGGAAACTGGGCGGATCCCAGAATTAATGTGGACGCTGTGGCGAAGAGCATAATCGCTGGGTCTGCGGAGAATCGAACCCCATCTGTTCATCTGTTCGTCGGGCAGTCTAGTCGCTGTACTCTTTGAACTGTCCCCGCACATCAGTTGAATTACAGCAAAACCTCGGTAGCTCGGAACAAAAGCCAGATGGGATCTTCTGAATTACTGAAAAGTGAGAACTATAGAATATGTAAATATGTCTATTGTCTCGTCACCAGAATGTAGGACAAAATCATGACACAAAGATACTTAACAGATACTTTGAAAATGTGACACAGTTCAGATATTTGGGAACGACGATAACAAAACAATTTTTTTTTCTTGTTGACATTGTTTACATTCCCTATAGAACGGACAGTGCTTTGTAAGATGAGGCACCGACTAAATAATTAACATTAATATTACTACGTCTACATCACGAGCCTCCAAAACAGTTTATTATATATACATAAAATATAGAATACTCCAATTTGTTCGTGGGAACGCAACAAAATCACAAAAACCAACGACTGACTCGGTGACGTAAAGCATCAATCGAAGAATTTTATTCTTGTTTTATACTATAACTTTTGTTTTATATAATCTGATTTATTGTATTTTTACGCCAATTAATATTATTGTATCCAATTTTATTAGTACTGCTGTTCAGTGCTTGTATATATGTTAGCCATGTATTTGCCTGATGATAGCTTTTAATCGCCGAAACATGTAGCAGAGCCAAAACTGGGCAGTGACCTTGATATAGTTGTGTTGTGACGGTCTTAATAAAGAAATTGTAAACCAATATTTGATTCAGGAGGAAATTAAGAGGAGATTGAATTAGGATAATGCTTACTACCATTCAGTCCAGAACCTTTTGTCTTCTCGTCTGCTGTCTAAAAATGTAAAAATTAGAATATACAAAACTATAACTTTGCCTGTGGGTCTGTATGGGTATGAAACTTGGTCTCTGACATTAAGGGAGGAACATAGACCGAGGGTGTTTGAGAACAGGGTGTTGAGGGGAATATTTGGACCGAAGAGAGATGAAGTGATGGGAGGTTGGAGAAAACTACATAATGAGGAGCTTCATAACTTGTACTTGATCAAGTCAAGGAGGATGAGATTGGTAAGGCATGTAGCACGAATGGAGAAGATGAATGCATATAGGACATTGGTGTCAAAGCCAGAATGAAAGAGACCACTAGGAAGACTTAAGCCTAAGTAGGAGGATAATATTAAGATGGATTTGAGAGGGATAGGACGGAATAGTATGGATTGGATTGATATAGCTCAGGATAGGGATCAGTGGAGGGCTCTTGTGAACACAGTAATGAACCTACTGGTTCCATAAAATGTTGGAAGTTCTTGAGTAGCTGCACAACTAGCGGCTTCTCAAGAACTGAGCTCCATGAATTTACTTAGTTATGTATGTAAATGTTTTCATGTCGTAGTCCCTAGAAACAAATTAATTTTGTTCACAATCCACCAACAGCTTACATGGTATTAAGCCACGAATAGCTTAAGACGAAGAGAAAAAAGGAAACTTTATGGGAATATCTACGTTCAAAACGAAAATGAATATAAAAAATTACCGAAAAAACTGCCATATCGGTAACGCTGTAGACTTGAATCCGGAAGGTTCTCAGTTCGAAGCTCGCCTAGGACACCTACTGTCCTGAGATTTTCGTGATCGTCCCCAATCCTTCCAAGCAAATGACAGGCAAATATCTTGACTAGGCTACGATCGCTTATTTTCAAATCCTTTTCAATTCATCTTTTATCTGCCTTCCTACCACCCGACGCTGTTCACTCGCAGTACTGAAGGCGTTGATAAATGATCCACAAGGAAATAGGAGAATTCAAATGAACAGCTGAAAGGAAGTGAGAAATGGTATCATTTAATTCTCGCTTAGGAGAAATGCCCATCCGTTCTGCATAAATAAAACAGAGGCAGTTCGAATTGTGTAGGGTCTCCGTTGCTGAAGTCTGGCAATTTGTTCTTATTTCTTGCCATGCCCGTGGAAGTTCATTCAAGACACTGTCTCTCAGTGTTTGGAGGTTGGGCAGCCCTAGTATAGGTTATGAAACGGGCCTACTTGCCCACTGTACGAAGGATCCTCCCCCGCGCCGAATAAATTCTAGCTGAAAGTAGAAACATGGGCGTGTGCGTAATGCTACATTATTTCTGTGTACTGCTGTCACGGTCGCTTCTGAGCCACGCGCGATCCTCCGTCCCTCGTTGGCCCTGATGCTCATTCACTGCAAGGCCAAATCTACTGGCAGAGCTAATCAGCGTTAGAGATGCTACACTCCACATAAGCCATTACTGAATAATGTTTCTTTATGAGCCGGTCAGAGTGGCCGGACCCTTTAAAGCCCAGTGGTCACTATATACTTGTATACCACCTACTTCAACATACTTCAGCTCTGCATTCTGCCCACACGGAGTGTATTTGTGGGTTCCGTGTGGTTCCCACAACAAACAGCAAACAGCATTGATCGGTTGGTAGTTGTTAAGGAGATGTAACATGTTTGCAGTGTAGGACAAGGCGAAGCCAGACATTTGTCTTCCTTTCCTCTTGTTCCCACTTTGGAGCATAGGGCTGATTTCAGTTTCATGATTATTTTACAGGCGGTAGGACTCCTTGGAGGGGTGATCAGCTCGTCGCAAGGCCTCTACCTAAACACAGGACAACACAAACACAGAATAAACGCATACACACACCAAACATCCATGCCTTGTGTGGGATTCGAACCCACGATCCCGTGTTTCCGAGCGACCGAAGATAGTACATGCCTTAGACCGCTAGACTACGGTGACCGGCGAAGCCAGACATGGAAAATACAAAAGGCTTATTAAACTTGGCGGTGGTCAAGCTTACGACCGTTCAGTTGACTAAACTGCCGTTGTAGCGCGTAAGATAGGCGTGATCTGCTCTGCAAAGCCAGTACTGAAAGAGGGCTTGTGTGTAGTGCAAAAGGAAGAATTTCCAGTCACATGCTATACGTACGGTACGTACACATCATGAAAGGCAAAGTGTATTCATAAGAGACGAACCCATCTTCTCGTCAGAAAGGATGATACATAAGGTCTATTATCGCAAGGGTTCAGCTGAAAAAATCTCTGGGCGTGAGCCTCAAGGGACTTGACGGTAAACTGCCAGTCGTAAAGTAACTTTGACTTTGACCTGTTGCCCTAAACAGCATTTACCGGTTGGTCTTCATAGCGGAGCCACCCGGCCTCCTATCGAATGGGTACCGGTGGCTCTTTCCTCGGGGGTAAAGAGGCAGGGGCGTGAAGCTGACCACACACCTCCAGCTAGTGCCGAAGTGAAGAAAATGTGGATCTATTTACCCACTGCCCCATACGCCTTCATGGCATAGCGCTTAATTAGTTAAGCACAGGGACAACTTTACGTGTTTCCTGAGAGATACGAACTGAATTTTTATATATTATTAGAATAAGTTCAGTCTTTGAGCTAGACACCCACTTCCTTCCATCTCTCTTTCAGTTCCTTACACGCTATCACAAAATTATCGGGCGATGTGTAGTCTGACACTGCCAGGTGATAAGGGAAGAAATTTAATGGGAAGCATACGAGTACCTGCTTCCTGTTTTAGAAGTCTCGGACTCATTTTTGAGCCCGCAGTCCTCGCTATATCGAGATTTTCGTAATTTTCCTCAGTCCCTCCAGTTAAGCCACAACTGACCCAGACAATTTGAAGCTGTGTAATCATGTACTTAAAGCGTCGTTCAGTGAACCATTCATAAATACGAGAATTTTCTATGGAGCAGCGGAATTTGGAATTATAGATCCTCCGAGGTAGCAGTCACTAAGCGTCAGAATTTTGGTAGCAGCCGGGACAGCTCAGTCGGTATAACGACCGGCTGAACAGTTAGGGTTCGATTCCTACCAGTGCAAGATCTTTGTTTTCTCCAAAACGTCCAGACCGACTCCAGGGCCCACCCAGCCTCCTGTACAATGGGTACCGGGAACTATTTCCCCGGGGTTAAAACGCCAGGGGCGTGAAACTGACTACTCACCTCCAACTAGAGCAGAGGTCAAGAAAAGGTGGAGCTATACGTCTTCATAACATATTTCGTCGGAAACACCGCCATCTTATTCTTCCAACATTTCATTTGGAAGCGTTCAACCCGTAACCGCCTGGTTCGGGCTTCAGAGGCTAGTTTCTACGTTGTGGTCGATATAACGGGCCTCTCTGCAGCGAGGAATTGTGTGGAGCTCTATCACGACCTCCTGGCAAACAGCCTGCACTGCCGCAAGTTGCCGTGTCATTGTTTTCAGTTCTATCTCTGTGCATACACACTTGGGAGGGAACCCTCGGTAGAAATCGATATAAATATAACGAATGGTAGAGGTCAGCACATGTGTATCACGTGCCCAATGTTTGCATTACACTTGTTGCCATACCAGTAGTTGTAGCTTTATGATGATTTATGATAAACGCACACACTTTCAACACGCTGAATTCTGCTTATGGGTTTCGAGGACACCACTACACAGTAATGGAGTAATGCAAAATGGCTCAAACAATGCTGCTTATAAACTCTCAATGTTTGGAACACGTGGCTGTGGAGCCAAAATCAAAATTTATTTTCTTTTTACCTTGGGATAAAAATGTGTTCTTAGTTTTTCACATTGTGTATGCACACTTGTTCTGGAATCTTGCTGTTACATAATATGATGAAAAAGTACATAAGCAGAATGCCTTTTTTTAGGTTTAGAGGCCACAAAACATTTTTATTTACATCCGGTGTGTCCCTTACTAAAAGTTTTTGAACCACTGTACCTAATACAATTCAGAATTTGTATGGTGCTAACTGTTTCATGTGAAGGATTTAGGGGTGGGGGACCTTGGCATGTTGAGGTTAAGATCTAGGTCACTTTTAATAAAGTAACAAAGACACTTAAAACATATATGATTTTACTATAATAATATATGATATACAATTGTTAAAGTGATAGCAATGCACAGATAAAAAGATATGATGAGAAATAACAACCTTCAGGTTTCATGAAAAGATTTCTAGAAGCAATTTGTTTTTCCTTTATCTCTTACTGGTCATGGTTAATACAAATATAAAGCTCAGTTGATTGGTAGTAATAAATTATTTTCTACTTAACTGCACAATTACTATATACATCACAGATTTGTATTAAAACAAATTAAAAAAACCCTGAAAATTGCTTAGTGCTCAATCAGTCTTGGTACACGCATACATCTCCGTTATGACCCAACATCTGCAAGCAAACATGAACTCCACCCCTGCTGGCAATTACCCCTTTCATCATTTGTGAATATAAAATCAAAACCCCCTACAACTGACAAGGCTCAGATGTGCTCAGCTACCTTTGCTGACACCCAACCAACACTGAATAGAGAAGAAATTAGAACTTTGGAATGTGTTTCACTTTGAAAAAGAATAAGAAAGAATGCTTGATTACATTAAAAGAACACCACATCAATGCACTCAAATTCCTCAAAAACCACAAGCAATATATGTTTAAATTTAAAACGTAAATCCAAACTACCAAATGATAAATCTACGATAGAGTACAGCCACATTAAAACAGAAAAGTTGATAAACAACTTCTCAGCTAAGGGCCCAGTAATGAAAATCCAGACCCCAATGGGCAAATAGCAAGCAAATATGATAAAGTAAGAGAAACTTTGATAGCACTGGTGTTACATAGGCTGGGTGTTTTGAGACATGGGGCAAAGGGGTATTACAGTTGGCTGGGGCAGCACTAAGCTGAGCTGCAGGGGTTGTGGTGGTAGCTGCAGGGGGCCCCGAGTTCTGGGACCTGCTTCACGAGCATGCCGTTTCACATGCTTCGCCAGGTGGTCAGAGCGCATGAAGCGGCGTGCGCACACACTGCAGCCAAACTTCTTCTCACCGGTATGCGTACGCTTATGACGGGAGAGTTCGTCAGAACGTGAGAACCGGCGCCCGCACCGGTCCCACTGACATGCAAATGGCTTCTCTCCTGCAGAGAAGAGGTTAAACACACATCAGTACATACAGCATATCAGAGCTTTGTTAAGTGCACAACATTTTCTACTTATGTTCGTAATACATTGACCACCAATAATACTGGAGGACATGTGTGAAGTCATGTCACCAACCACATCATCTGGCATCTGCAAATATATGCCCATACAGTGACTGGTTCATGATTTGAAATTAAGAGAGACAATGTACATGCAGGTGGTTAAATGATCATGTAAATGAAGAACCTCTGAATCGTGTTGCTACAAACTGAGCTTTCTGCTGATGACTGAATGCTGTGTTCTAGTCATTCTACCTCACTTAAAAATTAAGAAAAGCACATTTCTATTTTGAATGTGCCAAACCATGCCAAAAACCTTGAAACAAAATGTGCTTTGCACACTTACCTGTATGGGTTCGCATGTGAGCCTTAAGATGTGATGATTTGAAGTAGTTTTTCCCACATCCTGGATAGTCACATTCATACACACGTCGCCGGGAATCCACACCTGGTGGCGACTCTTTGTTTTGCTGCTGTGCTGCCGCAAACAGGACGATGCTGGTTGCAGAACAGAGCTTTGCGTCTTGCTGTGTTTGTGGCGTCAACACAATGTGGGTTACAGATGTCTGAGGAGATGCAGGCACTTGCTGGGAAGTGGCAGCTGTCACGGGAATGAGTGTCCCGCCCGTCAATATCACAGCTTGGGTGGTGTTCTTCTCAGAACCCTGCTTTACATTATTGGTGGTGCAGGGAACAGACACCAGGGGGAAGACAGGGCGGGGCGGTGGTGGAGCAACAGCCAGTTTTGGAGCAATGGCCACTGGAGGATTGTTCTGACTAATACTGGGAGCAAACGAATGATGAGAGAGATTCATCTGAGATCGAAGGATACCCTGAGCATTTGGTGGTGATGATGGAAATGACAGAGATGATGATGAAGCAGGTACAGTGTGTGCGCTCTTGTTAAGGATATCGCTGCCCTCTCGGTTCGTGTCCTTGCTGTTCACAAAGATCAGCTCCTTCTTAGTGCTCATTTTGTATTTGAGGCTCTTCAGTATATTGCCCTCACACGGCTCTGGGGATGATGCTCTCTCCACAGTACATGCCCCACATTCCATCTGCATTACCTCTGCTCCCTTCTGCATGCCCTCTTCTTGGCCACACTTCTTGCACTCTTGATTTACTTCTTCCGCCACATCTACTCTCCCAGTATATGGTGAGAATGTCCCATCTTTGTTGACCTTCATGATAACAGAGACTGGCATGGATGTCACTGGTGCAACAGCATCTGGACTGGGTGTTCTTGGTGGAGTGCTGGCATGTGACAACTGTAAAGAGACATTAATAAGCTACTTGCAATTGTGAATCTTCCTTCATATCTACTGAGAACAATTTGCGTTTTGTTTCATGAGGATAAAGAAGAACTGCTGTCACTAATAATGCAGGACACCCAGATTCTGCCTCAAAAATAATAATAAACAAATAAATAAAAGTTAAAAAACAGAAACCTGTGAAGACTGTTTCAATTGGGAGCTCTCGAGGAAGAAAGAAGTATATGGGTAAACTGCGTATTCACAAAAAATTGAGATTTTTTTGTAGGACACCCAGATTCTCTCTTAAAATTAATAATAAACAAATAAGGTTTAAAAAAGCAGACATCTCTGAAGACTGTTTCGATCGAGAGATCTGAAGAGAAAAAAAAAAGTATTTGGGTTCAGGAAAACTGTAATCACAAAAACATAGAGATTTTTTTCTTATGCCATCCAATTTCCTTCCTTGCCCAGTTTTTTTTAATAACAACTTACCCGATGAAGCTGGTAATCTCCGGTGCTTGGCTGGCTGCATGCACGTTTTCTCACTGGCAAGTCTGCTATGGTATCCTCGCTCTCTGAGTCAGATGGCTGAGGTGTGGTAATGCCTGACGGCAGCAGGATCTTCTCACTGTAATAGTTACTGTTAAGCTTCCTTTTATTACCAACTTCACTTTCATTGTTGAATGGTAGCAATGCCTTTACAGCATATAGATCCACTGTGCTGTATTCCTGCAAAACGAAAGAAAGTTTCCATCAATATTTATCTCAATACTTCCATGACATTCCCTTTCAGATATTCTCTCTGGGATGCTCATAAAAAGTAAAGCTGTCCATGTGTTTTAATTAACCACTACCCCACAAAAACGTTAGGGTAAAAGAGGTACAAGTAGATTCTAAAGGGTTCTGACGATGGGTTTTTGAACTCTGTCCATCATCTAGTATTCTAGAATCCAGAAGACACGTTTCGGAAACTGGATCTGATTTTGTCCTCATGTGGGTGGGGGGCACCTACTCTGTTGGGTCTCTTGGAAAGAGCTAACCTCAATCACTGGACAACCCAATAGCGGAAGTCATTACATGTCTTCACAAATTTTGCAGATTTATTCTATGCACTGGTGTTCATGCATCGGTTTGTTGCCTATGTCTGTAGCATCTTCTGTTATCTCCCTCCAAGTTGGCCTGGTCTCGGGTAATTATATATAGCTGTAGTGAATCTGACAGGGGTTGTTTTGGGAAAGGACAGGCCCATCCTCTAGCCAGAGAGAGCACTCCACATCAACAAACCCGCAACTGTCTGACAGGAATAAAAATCTGGTCTTAAGCCGCAGATGGGTGCTTTATTCCAAGATAGACTGGCCGACTGCCAGTGACTGAGCTTAGCTCTTTCTGAGGGGCCCAACAGAGGTGTCTCCCTCCTCCCCTGAGGATGGAAACAGTCCAAACCCCCAGTAATTCTGAAAAGAGGTACAGCTCCATACATTCTTAATTTTGACACTAGATGAGGTGAGTGGTCGACTTCACTCCCTGGCTTTTTTAAGATGTGTGGTACCCGAAGCACAACAGACCACTATAGGTAGTGGTGCAAGGGCCGAGAAGGCCTACTCCTCATACATTCATGTGTGGTACCCACTAGATATGGGGCTGAGTGGACACCGAAGCGAGTCTGGACATACCACGTAAAGGAAAAATGAAAACATCCCTGGTCCATGCTAGGAATTCAACCGTAATTCCCCATTCATCGAGCCTGTAGTCGTACTTTCACGTGTATGAGTAACTCTCGACAGGGTTTTGGATTGGACACTGGGTTTACCGACCACTTATAGATTGTAACTACAACTGTAACAGTCTCACCAAATTACAAACTCCAAATATCACCGTACCTACAGCACACATAAATCTTTGTCTTCAATAGACGTTTCCTGGCAACGGCTTCTTACAGTATATTCTTCGGCGTCTGTGCTAACTGCACCGCATAAGTCTTCCCGTCACAGACTCCCTTACAATTCCCTCAGTGCTTCAACTGACTAACTCTTAGGCTGGTGGCCATTTCACACCAACCTCCTAGTCTCGTCTTCATAGCCTTTCTTTCAACTGACTGTAGCGGTTTACTGCCAATCAGTTCGTCTTGGCGACAAGCCCCTTGACACTCACGACCAGTAATTTTATTTTCCAACTGAACACTTGTGGTTATAGTCCTCATGTAACATCCTCTCTGATGAGAGGATGAGTCTGTTGTTTACAACTGTTGTGGGTCCTCGCAAGCGCAGTCATTCTCAGGTCGAAGTCCCACAGCACCGATTATCACATTTTATTGTCTCAGATTCAAGACTCCCCAACCTGGAGGGCCAGGTCCCCGTATTTATATCCCCCAGGAACCTGATACAAACAGGCGTATCAAAAAAGACAATACATGTGGCATAGGAGGATAAAATAAACTACTTCAATCAGAAACACAGTAAATACTAAAACACCGATCGCAGTAGCGCAATTTCTCCGAAGTTCGACGCACCTGATGATGGCCAAGTAGGTCGAAAGACGTAGTGCAGTGACGAATTAAATAGGATTTAATTATAAATCTTGACATTGTTGCATCTGTGAATGGTAAAAAAATTGAAAATGCCATTTTGTGTCTTCGCATTACAAACACGAACTGGGGATGCTACAACGGTACAACTTTCATGCCATACACGTATTTTGTGAAAATCGGTCATAGTAGACTCTATCTTTTTAAAGGAAATCAAACATAATATACAGGTGGGCTCTAAATTAATAATTTAGAATCACCCTGTATATAATCTACTGAATTAGATATTCCATTTCTATGTGAAGGGTAGGTAATCGCTACTTAGCGATGCAGACCATTACGTAACAGTTACCAGATTAAATATTCAACACACTTCCTAAAGTTGGTCACGCAAGACATAATGTAAGCTAGTTCACAGAAAAGATGGAGTTTATGTAAGGTGCTGGTTATTAACAGAACACACATGTATATCTTAATTGTGTATACTTAAACTCTGTTCCTGATCAGACAAACAGACCTCAGCAGCCATGATCTATAGTTTAAGGCTTTTAAAGGGCGAAATCTGAACAAAACTGAAATACTTGTATACTGTCACGTAATGTGTGACTATAGACGGGGTTTGGATTGGTAATTGGATTTACTGAACACTTACAGGTCGTAATTACAATTAACTAAAACACTATCGCTATTTCCACACTCTACAGTTCACTAGAGCACAGAGTCTAGCGTTCTCAGTTTGTTACTAGACGTTTCCTGTTAAGGGCTCCAACAGTGGCTATTCCTCTGCCTCCGGGCTCAAGTTCTCTCTTCACAGACTCCCGTACAGAACTGACTAGCAACTATGGTCAGTCAGTCTGTCTGTCTGTCCGTCCGTCCGTCCGTCTTGGTGTCGAGCCTCATCAGGGGCTCATGACCAGATATTATTTTGTTTTGACAGTTACTGTCCTGTCCATGTGGGGAGCTCTCTCTGACAACAGGACGGGTCTGACGTTTGCTACAGTCACAGTTAGCAGTAAGTCACTGTCAGTATGTACTATATATTTCCATTTTACATGTTATTAAAAGTACGTATATACAAGGCCTCTGTCAGTCCAGGTTTAGTACGGCACATCATGCCCTATCTTCAATAGCTTCCTCTACAGCGGCAGTCCAATCACTTCAACGGTTGTATGCTTGACCGTCACCAAGTTTCTTGTCCCTTGTTTATGACATCTCGGCACGGTTCACATAGAGAACACAGTTCTATCGTTATACAAGCGCGTTTGCCGCGCCGTTGCGTAACAACGGTGGCTGTTTACAGAGCCATCGCTTAGCAACGAGAAACGGCCCTGGTACATCCGCCCATCTCGCGGTCCTTGAGTAGCAACGGCTCTACACGATACAACAAGAATGGCGATTGAGTGCAGTGCTTACAGTCCGTTTGTTCCGGGCATTTTTCAATCCCTCAGATTGAAGAGAAGTGTATAACGAATTGGGGAGTACGTGGAAGAGGCAGTCGTGGCTGGAGATTTATAATTACCTTCCTCGACCTGTTTTATGGGAAATGCTCAGAAATTTAAAAATTCGCTATATTATTCAAGGATCTGCCTGGGAAGATCCGAGATTGGAACCTGTGACTTCACGAGTACGAATCATCTAATTGCTAATTACAGTCAGGGCTGTGGACTAGCCAGAGCGGTCCAGGGCGGCATCCATTTAAAGACGCCTGTATAAGGAAGTTTCTACAGTTTAATTTCCGACCTCTGAGGTGGACGCGCACGCGCATTCCACTGGCTGTTTGTCGTTCGGTTCTGCATTCAAATGAGTAAAGCTATCGTTAGGTAAGAAGAACGGCTTCGTATTATGATTTGTATTCATACGGGGAAATGTGTACCGGACCGCTGTGGTACTACGCCCCTGTCTCAAGTACGTAGCACTTAACCGCGATGGTTCGTGCGTCAAGCAGGCAGAATACTAATGCAATTTGATTCAAATTATCCTCTGCAAATAAACCAGTGGAGGGCTCTTGTGAACCTAGTAATGAACCTTCGGGTTCAACAAAGTATAGCCACATCAACATAACTGGCTACATAATCTGGACGATCTGGACGAAAAAGTGGGGGCGAGGAGTTACCTCCTAAATACTGGTGATGCCTGTCGGTAAATATTCTTGACATAAGACCGTGTCTGGTCTTCCCTGCCAAGCTTCGCCACCGGACTATCTGTTGAAAGAGGCAAAAAGCTGAATGCAGTGAAATGTGTTTGCACAGAAAACCGTACAATACTCCCTCAAATTATTTTGTAAATATTTTGTAGGTATGGACGCTGTGAAAGTCCATTCTTTCAACTACAAACCTCGGCATGCTAAATCTGACGCTATCTATCGACAGAAATACTGTACTAAATCATTGCCATTAAGCCGATCTCGTACGCGGTGCTCATCTAAACGGCCGTAACATAAACGCGAGGTGAAGACGAGAAAACAATCGAATCTTAGCCAGAGATGGAGGAAAATTTGTTTCGTATTCTGATAGCGTTAACCCCTTTCCTCACCTGATTTTCTTCTATTTATTTATTTTTTTTGGGGGGGGGAGGACACAGAAACCACTTCTGGTGAGATAATGTACGAATGAGCTTTAAAAAAATGACTACAGTAATCCCTCGCCAACTGGAGAGTTAAGGATCTGCGGTTTTCCATTTCTTTCGTTTTGCCAATTGCAGTACTTGGTATCGCGTGTCTGCTGCGTCTTTTGTTGCCACTTCCATATGCTGTGTGATCTTCTGAAAGATACCCAGAACTCGTTGGGCCGTTCAGGTTGGAAACAGGATCCTCACTTTTAACTCGCACCCTACCGATTCGAACTGTGTCCAGGGCCGGATGTAAAGGGATGCGACCGAGGCGGTCGTGTCGGGGCCTCCACATATGTCAGACAGAATCCAAATATTTTATTGAATCGTTTGCTTCTCTAAAGTCACGAAAATGTGATTTGTATTTCTTAGTTATTATAAGAAATAAGAACACGGACATAACTGAAATTTGTTACTGATAGGGGGGCCTCGGGCACCCAGAATCGCCGTAAACTGGCCTTGGTCTTGCCGAACCAACAGCCCATACGCATTACACTTTCTCTTCATTGCTGCTCCGATAAACAGTTGAACAGCTACCACGAGGCGAGCTTATGCGTAATTAATGGCTAATGTGCCTATAATTTTGTATGGTTTAGTT